GGTTAGCTGTATATGGCGGAACAAATAAGAATTGTTGAACTTTCATTGAAAACGGCTCCTAAAATCTACCACCTGCAGGTACTTTGTTTACTTAGAATCTTGATAATATTTATCAATCGGTTTCACGTTGGCAACGTTTGTATATTAAAGCTGCAGTATAAAAGATTTCCAATTTCATTGTTAATTCAACTATCTTTGATAAATCTATAATCAGTATAATCTAATCATTTAATAGTGTTTAGTTGTGTTCTGAATCCAGTTATGATATCGCATAGAGAATGTGGAAATTTAGTGTACCTACACTATAGTCATTTCGCAATTAATTTGTGTGTACAATAATAAGTATGTGCCCAGGAAAAATAACATCAACAAAGAAAAAATAAATTTGACGACGACGATAGATTGACGACTTCCGTGGCCGAGTGGATTATACGCCGGGTTTCATGGTGTCGCCGACTTGATTCGTCCCGGGTTCGAATTCCGGTGGGGGCAGATGTTGTTGTGAAGAATACGAGCATTTGGACTCCAGTCGTGGATGTTTAATATGTATTTCTATATAAATATACTTATATATGTGTATTCTATCCGTAGTATCCCATAACACAAGCCTTACAGTGCTTACTTTGGGGCTAGGTCAGTTGGTGAGTTGCAAAAAATACTTGAAGAAATTAAAACATCACGTATAATACGTAAAGATTAATATATTTATTATTATGACTAGGTAGGGTTGCCAACCCTACTATATAATATAGTATCCTAGTATCCTACTTACTATATTTGGGGATCATATTCTAAAAAAATATAGTAGGCGAAACTACATTTTTTTTAAAGCAGGCTTTAGCCAGTAAAAGCTTTCTTAAAAATAAAAACTGAATTATTAGAGTAGAGCAGCAAAAATACTCATTTCAAAAATAAAGTAAATATTTTAACCATATACTCACTATATTTTTTGCCATTTTTTTGCCATCTAATATATTTTTAGAGGTTAATAGTTTCGAAAATACTATATTTCATACAAAAAAAGTTGGTAATCCAATACTAGGGGGTTAGTACCATGTTTTTAATTGAATTCGATCAGAATAGTAAAGTTCTGTTTAAGAAATGCTCTATTTATATGACAAAATAACAACAGAACTAAAACAAATCTGGTATTATCACAAAGAAAATGTCGGGCGGTCAATGCGAGTTTAAGATGAAAACGTTATACATAATTGTCCTAAGCATGGTATTGGTACAACCGATGGATCTCTAATCTGTTGTTAAGATCAAAAACTATACGACCAAAAAAACGTTTAAAAGTTACCGCATTTACATATTATCGCCTAATAAAATAACTGTAAAAATAAATAAACATGGGTTACCTACAATGCGAAGAGATGGCGCTGCCTTGCAGCCTAAGTCTAGAGACAATTCGACACGGCCGTCAGGGCCGCGGTAGCATAATGGTTAGTACATTCGCCCGGATAGCGAAGGGTGCAGTTGCTGTCGGTATTTTGTTGCGGTTGTTCGAGTGCCGTCTGCGGCCTGGTCCGCGTGGATTTTTTTTCTAGTAAACTTTTCTTTAATTTAAAACATCTAGCAGTAAAATGCTTACAAAATAAAAACACAACTGTAAATAAATGTATTTGATTTAGGTATTATTTAGCTGGTTCGATATAGGAAATAGGTATTTAAATTATCCTCAAAAAAATAACAAAACGATCGCCTAAAAGTACAATTGGTAACCTAAAGCACGGTAATAATATCATACAGTATTCTATCTTCATACAAACGGTCGGAAAGCGAGTCATACCTATGCCACTCGAGTTCGATGTGCTCTCGGCGGGCACCCTGTCGCGAATGCGCCGCCGCGCCGCGCCGCAACGACGACCGAACGGTGTGAATTGTTTTTTATGCAGTTAGCCGTGCTTAAACGTGTGTTTTGTATTGTAAATATTTGATTTAATTAAGTAGATACCTACATAATTTAGTATGGAAAAGAACAAGCGAACAAGCTGTTTTTGGTTGCTTGAACTCTTCAATAACACACCCAGAGATATCATTTTTTAAATTACCTGAAATATTGGAAAGGTGTCTTACCTTTATAGATTTTTTTTTATATACCTATCTACTAGTACGTAATTTGTTTCTAATATTTAGGTATTTCGGTTTTTCCATCGGGCAAAATATCTGGAATAATATATAAATAAGTGGTTAGGATGAAAAAAGAGACAAACGAGTAATCTACCTACACTCGCGTTAAAAACAAAACTACATAAAATACTGTAGGCGGGCGGCCCTACCGCACGTTATAATAAGGTACTCTGTGACAGAAACTGTGTGATGATTGTGAATGAGCCACAGATTAGAGAGAATTTTTAAACTCTCGTTAACCAAAGAAAGCTAAGAGATTTAAGGTTCTATAGCCATATATTCAGTAGCTTCATTATTTTTGTTATGTTTTTATGATAACCATATTTTAGATTTTTAGTGTATCACACCTTATAATTTTATTTATTTATTAATTTATAGTCAGGGAACGTAGGCCCATAGATAGATACTTTAAAGTGTAACATATACACAGATTATAATGTGTTTATGGAGGTGTTTGGCGAAAAATGTATGGCAATAGACTTTATGATGTCGCCTACCATCTATAATAATTGTCTTAGCACATTTGCATGTAGTGAAAATGATAATATAGTTGTGGATATTAATACCACAGTGTAATAAAAAAAATATTTATTTTATCGATCTTTACAAAATAGATTTGTTTTTATGTTATATAAACAACTTTGATCAGTCTTTGGCTGAATGTTACTACACCCATAGCCATTAAAAATGATTCGTATGTTTTCCGAACCGGTAAAATTAAAAGTCCTCTTTAAAGTAAATATATTATACAAAGGTGTCCGTTGAAATCTAATGACTGTAAATTAAATTATAAATTACGCCAAGAATTACCGTGTATGTCAATATTTTTTGTGCATTTGGGCCAATTTGAGCAATCTCCTTTGTATATAGTATGTGTACACCGGCACCCCTCAGGAAACTTTGGTAAAATTGAATTAGTCATAGAGGACTCATTCAATAAATTAAGAAATAAATCTATAAGTATGTGGTGATTTTAATATCAATCTACTTGAAAATACCTCTTAGTCTTCGGTTAATTACTTTGTTTAAATGATTTAACTTAAATGTCCAGTTTGGGTTACTATAATGTTAAAGACTTCTTAAATGATATAATAATACTTTGGCCTCACAATAATAGACTAAGGCCTACTTGGACGTAAATCTTGAGATAACAAAATAACTTCGAGTTTACTAACTCAAAGTTAATATAACATTTTCTTAACTCAGAGTTTATCTTGCACGAACAGAAAATAATCCAGGTTTTACTAACTCAAGAAAAAGAGAGAATGATGAATGACATAAAAAAAGTGGAACCAACAACAGAGCTGGTGCGGCTTGTGAAGCTGCTGAAAAAGCTAAGGCAGGCAAATACAGGGGTCTAGGCTCCGAATATGATTTTGTCCCATTCGGTGTCGAGACCCTTGGTCCGTGGGGTCCTAGCGCTTTAAGGCTATTTAAGGAAATAGCAAAAAGGTTAGTCGACGTCACAGGAGACCGAAGAGCTGGCAGCTACCTCGGACAAAGAATTAGTCTAGCCATTCAAAGAGGTAACGCTGCCAGTATCTTCGGTTCCTTGCCTAAAGGGACTCCTTTTAATAATATATTTTAGTTATTAATTTTTATGTTTTTAAGGTTTTTAATTTTAGTTTTAGTTTTATTATTCTAGTATTTATATTTTACTTATATATAGTAATTATGTAATTAGATAGAGACTTATTTGTTTATAGTTAGTGTATTTTATAGTTTTATGATGTGAAATTGTTAATGTTAGTTGTATTTTATTGTTATATCTTCTTAAGTTATATGCCGAATTATTAATCTTATGTTGTGGATATTAATACCACAATAAGATTTAAAAAAGTCATCCATCATTCAGAAATCAATAAAATAAAATGTTATCTCTATAAAAATAAACAACACAGCCTATTACAATTTTGATGTTTTAAATCTCGAGTTAGCAATTTAACTCTCCAACTTTGGCGGGTTAATTATTTAATTATTTGACCTAAGCTTTAGTGTTAACTCTTGGCAGTGCAAGAAAAAAAATTTTTTTTAGCCCTAGTTTAAGAGTTAACTTGGAGGTAAATAAATTAACCCTGGAACGTGCAAATGGGCCTAAGTAGTTTTACTTTAGTAATTTGGTTGAAAATTGTTTAATCGGCAATTCTAATTTTTAAAAATAGTACCTAGACTTGTTAATTAATAATATTAATGTGATGGAAATTGTCATCAACATAATGTACTCAGTTTTTGATGTCATCTTTCAATCTTTGTCTGACTTTCTTGCTGGTTCTTCTCAATACAAGGTCTCCCGCCGTAGATTTACGAACAGATAGCGAAGCGTTTGACTTTCACAAGAACTTGTAACAGCTTAGATTGAATTAATAAGTTTGAATTGAATTGACTTGAATAAAAAGATAAATGGAACCTTTTATATCCAACGATTATAATTTTATAATGAACTCGAAAGTGACTATAACTGATGAACTATAATCAAACTGTAATATTGTATTTAGTACTGCACTGAATTCTGTCTATATTGTACTGTTGGCTTTGGAAAAGACGATACCAAAGTTGCTGGTAGGTGGTAGGAAAAACAGCTACATTGGGTTCTGAGGGAATTTTTTGATATTTTCTCTGTACACGGTTGTAGCCTTAGACGGTTAATCGTCTTTGTATCATGAATTGTTACATTTTATACGGTTAGTACAGTGGGGCATTTCATTTATGTGCTCTGCTCCTCCATATACTGTGGTTTCTGAGTTACGTATCTGCCACAAAGATTTACCGTTGACGTGCAAAATCAATTTTTCTTACCTAATAAATTAATAGGTTTAAAAACTTTACCGGTATCAAGAAACCTTGAATAGTGGGTTAAATTGACATACGTTTCTGCTTTTCGTAGTATCGCCAGTCTTCTCGATGTCATCATTCTGCCGGTTTGGTGCCTCCTTAATATCGTCTGATTGATATGCCCTATTGACAAACTCCCCTTCGTTGCCTGTATTATCGCCGTCTGTGTCCTGAAATTTCAGTGAGAATATCAATGATGACTCTGTTAATAATAAAACAGGGAGAAAACCAGAGCCCTTGCTGAGTTTCTGGCCGGTTCTTCTCAGTACAAGGTCTTCCGCCGAAGATTTACGAACCGATGGCGTAGCTTCTAGGGCTTGTAACAGCCTAAACTGAACAAATGATTTTGATTATCATGCTTATGATTAAAGAGTCCTAGTACCTACCTAATTGTTAAGTTTTTTAATTGTTTATGGTTTTATTTAGTTCATCAAAATATGCAACGTTTTTAAAAAACTTTATCCCTTTTCAATTTAAACTCTTCTCTTAAACGGAAAAAAGCTCTTATTTTTTTAAAGTAAATTATTAAAAGTGATGTTGCCAAATTTAATGTTAATTAATTACCATTTAATTTTGCTCCTTTAATTTTCGAGACCTGTGCGCACTATGAGGTACGCTATTAAAGTAAGCTGCGAACCGCCCTATTTTTTACCATAACAATCTTTAATCAAAAGATTACAAAGATTATCTAGTATTGACGTTATCAGAATACATTACACATATTCATCAAAGCAATGGACATTTATTCAACATGTTTGTGTGTTTATAACTTTTATTAATAATGTTTTACAAAAACGCCCGAAATTGGTCATAGTACTTATACGTGATAGTTTATTTAGTCAAAGTATGTATTGGTATGAATATAATGTTTGATTTCTTTCCATGTAATTGGTTGGCTACGTCTTCTTCATTCTTCCTAAAAATAAATAATAATTAGGCTATTGTAAGATGTTATTTTAATGTCAACATTAATAATCACCAACTTTCCCCGTATGCACACACAATGTTTCAAATACATCCTTATTCAGACATATGAAAATCTCGAGTTAAGGTTTTTCAACCAAGCTTTATAGATATAACTAGCGGCCGCCCACGACTTCGTCCGCGTTAACTTTAGTTTTCTGGGAATCCTACAGCGCACAACCCACCATTATTTAGCTATAAAAAGTATACTTTGTCTCAATCCAGGTCATACACTATATGCGTATAAAATTTCAATAAAATCCGTTCAGTAGTTTTTGGCTGATTGAGTAACAAACATACAAACTTTTATATTTATAATCCCAAGTAGGATACAAAGAGAAACCGTCAAATAATTTATTTCATTACTTCATTTGTATGTTTTACTAAATAAGTGACGACGTTTAACTAAACTTCAAATTGTATAACCCCATCTATATTATTGCCATTCAGAGGCGTGTTTACCCTAGGGCTAAGAGAGCCACGGCCTGGGGCAGCAGAAGTGCGGCTGCAAGAGCTGCGAGGGCAGTGTGCCAGGTCTCCCTATTTTACAGGAGATAAATTTCTCCTGTTCTATTGTTTCTATTATATAAAATAAATGTTAGAGGGGGGGGGGGGGAGCATCTACTGTTTTTTCTATAATGCCTACTGATTTTTAAAAATCGGACCTGGCGATACTGTGCGAGGGCGGCAGAGGCCACATGAAGGCATTTGAAACTGACCTTTATTTTGAGTTATTTTACTGATTCTAGTTTTCGGTAATGTGCAAATCGTAAATGGTCCCAGGCGTCACAAAAGGGAGAGACAGTAAAATGTTTCTCGCTTGCGATAGCGTACATTGGTTAAAGAGATGATTTGTGTCCCGGGAAAGAACATACGATAGTTTTCATCCTAGAAATCATCATCGTGAAAAGTGGGCGGTAGTTTGTGTGGAAAACTGATGCTGTCACTTTTGTTTGCTAAAAAGAAGGCAGAGGCCTAAAGACATTAGGTTTAAATCAACCTCAGTTCGCGTTTTGGAATAAGGGAGACAGTGACTAAGATTCCAGTTGGTTTATTTTTTATTTATTCTATTTTGATGTAAACTTTCTTACGATTGAGACAAGGACCGAATGTTCTGCTTAATCGACGCCCTCATTATTGACATAATAAATTAGCAAAATGTAATATTCCAAAACCATTTAATATACCTATGCAGATTTTATACTCATATGAAAAGAGGTAAAGTATGTAAGTTTGTTTGTAATCTCTGGAACTAACGAACTAAGGTGACCTTCTGTTTACATTATTTCTGAGTGATACATACTAGGCTTATATTTTATAGCGTTACAATAAATTTCATAAGTGCAAAGCCACGGCGGGTTGCTATAGCTAGTGAGTAATACATTCGTTGATTTACTTTATTAAGTTCCTATTTTTTAGATTAGTCTAATGACTTTATTATAAGTGTAATAATTTTTTATTACTGTTTTTTTTTTGATAAAGTGATAAAGTTTTTATAGTTGATTTAACATTGAATAAAAAGAACAAAAGTACGCCGAAGATCTTCAACCAATTATAATGAATTATTGAGGGCGATTAAATATACCTGTGTTCAACTTGTACAGCTTTAACAAAGGTATTGTGATATTTAATCGCCCTCGTGTCATCACTTTATGGCATAGGTAATTATACAAGTGACAACAAAATTATGCACAAACGTCACATTATATAGAAGTCTTTTTTTAACAAGGGAAGTGTAACTTTACCATATAATTTGGTTTCTCTTTGAATGTCCTTATTGCCAAAAAAAAAAAAATGCAGCAATTAGGGATCTTTTGTTAGCAAATCTGTTTTAATTACTATAAAATAAATCCATCACCTACATATAAAAGCAAAAAACTGATTGACGGATCGACATTTGAAAAATTATTTGATATTTTTGAAAAATCATCCCTTAAGGGATCCAAAAAAGATATTCATATTTTAATAAAAGTTCGTCAATTTTGGAGATAGAAAATATAAATTAATAGATGCGCTTACGGTGAAAAGTAAATGTATACTGTAAAAAATAAAAACAATAATAATAATAATAAGTATTATTAGTAACAAAATATCTATATGTCAATATATTAATTCCTGTTTCCCTTAATTTGATAACCACTTTACCTTTCACCATAAAAACAACATTTAAAAATACAAAAATGCAGTTCCCCATCGGGGGCAAGATCAGGGTAAGGGAATAATAATAAGTATTATTAGTGTAAGAATTTATAATTTTCACCTTAATATATTGCTGATTTGACCACACATTTGTACGTGTCACTTTAATACAATGAAATGTTAAATTTCTATTGCTTTATTTTGACGTGACAACGTCTTAAATTAGGTTGCGGCTGGGAGTCACTTATGAAAAAGTGTAACGCTCGGTAACGTTACGATGAGTCTCTCGTGTTAAGTTTAAGTTTACATGTACAATGTTTTAGTAAACAAAATATATTTCTATAGTTAAAATTTGTGCAATTCTTATTTTCATTCAATTCCTTGTTCCTATTGTGCAATTTAATTATATTCATATCAATAAATATTCTACCGAGAAAAAGACGTTGTCACGTAAAATCTTCGCCCGTAAAACCGACTTTACAGGCAACCATTTTTTTTTTATTAATAATTATTAAAATCGCATTCATGTAAAATTTATTAGAATATAACATGTTTTTTTTGTTTTTATATTGTTAATTATAAGATGTATTAAATAAATATTTCTTTGTTATGACCGACTGTCAGTTTCGGTGTCAATGAAAAGTGTTGAAACGATACTACCTCAATATTCTATAAAAGCACGAACTTGACACCGGAGAGGGCAGTCAGTGCTGAGTTTTTGTGAAATAAAGTGCTAAAAGTTGAACGAGTTTATGTGCAAACCGACCCCCAACTTACATTAGTAACAAAATATTTATATGTCAATATATTAATTCCTATTTCCCTTAACTTGATAACTACTTTACCTTTCATCCATATATTTTTTAAAGTTAACATATACGAGGCTGAAAACTTTTGACCCTAAGTACCTTTGATCATCACTAATGAATGAGAAGCGCTGCACACCACTTATTGAGGGTATTCTAAATAATATAAATACCAAGTTTCATGTCATTACCATCATTACATTTTTAGTAATTGAACCGTAAACATCACTATGTCTGTCTCATCAGCGCTTTCTACGAAATAGGAGTACAGAGCTATCATAAAATTCCTCACAAAGAAAAACCAAACGCCGACGAAAATATAAAAAAAGTAAAAACAAGTCCTGTAGTCTATAATTCTGTTAATAAGGAACAAAGCTACTTTAACAGCCGGGACCCATTAGATATTCAAGAATACATAATATTTTTCAATAATGGGTCCCGACTGTTAAAGTAGCTTTGTTCCTTATTAACAGAATTATAGACTACAGGACTTGTTTTTTTCTTTTCAGTTTTTATTTGAAGTATAATTAAGCAGTCGGGTTTTTTGATTTTTTAAATTTACCTTTTTTATTTCACACTTTTTAGTTAGATTTTAAGACGGTATATACCGTAGTCTTGTAACTTCAGTAAGGTAATTAATATCGCGGGAATTATTATGTACCTTGCGGTGGTCTAAAAGATTGATTTATTAAGACATATAGAGACTTTACCAGCGGGGTAAGGCTACAGATGGGCCTCAATTTTCGCAAAAATGTGTGAAGTTAAATCAAGTCGTTACATAAATATCTAATGTATGTAAATTTTATAGTAAACTAGCACTTATTCAATAATCTTTTGTTTATGTTCTTTTTAGTAGTTTAACAGTAAATATAAAAATCATTTACTTTATTCGTCGACTATTTAAAATTGGCAGTGGCTGCATTGTCATGTCAACGTCCGGCTCTAAGATTGTGATATACACAAATGCAGTGTCATATCCTAGTCTCATCATTTGATATACCTACATAATTCACAGAAACCCAATATGTAGATGCCAGAAATTAACTTCAAATGTTGTTAATCACCCTATATACAATACCAATCAATGACGTTTATGTCGCATATTGCAAATAGTGCAATCACGGCAACATAAATGAATGATTGGTCTCGCAGTGAAGCGAGACCAATCATTCATCTATTCATGGCAATTATTTTCCAAATATTTTTATTGTATAAAAAAAAAATACCGAATAACGTACCAGTGTTAAGCACAAATACTAAGTAACTTTTTCGAATTTAATCAAAGAAACCTATTACTTACTTTATTTTTAAATCTTTTTCACCAATTAAATACTATTATCCTAACTATCTTTACTAATATTATATAGAGGCAAGATTTGTGTTTGTAACAAATAATCTGTCAAACTACTGAACCGGTTTCAAATATTAATTCATCATATGGTAGCGTCGTAATTTATTATTACATTTTTCTTTTTTTAAATAAATTTTATCCGAGTGACATAGGCTATATTTTATCCCGATAAAATAAATTCCGCCCGTACGATGCCCGGGTGGATCACTAGTAAGAGTAATATAATATTATAGATGCGAAAGTGACTTTGTTTGTTGCGCTTCCGTGCCCTAATAGCTAAATCGATTATAATGAATTCCCCTATAGAAGTAGATGGGAACTTGGTTCTTAGCTACAACATCGCAATACTTATAGGCGTAGGGTGATGAAAGGGGTGATTTACCTATAAAAATCTATATTATTTACTTTGAATTTTGCAAAATTATCGTTTATAATTACAAA